AGGGACCGGAGTTGGGGGGGGACAAAATGGCTTTTTTCCTCCAGACAAGAGTAGGTCCCGCCCACTACTCACCCACGTGACCTCATTCCTTCAGGGTGTTTGCAGAGAGGGGAAGAGGAGGGGGAGAGGCCAGTGCGTCTGCTCCCCTCGCTGGTGCCGGGCCCCCCAAACCCGAACAGGACCCCTCCTTTACCAAGCAGCACCCCGTCCCCAGAGGACGAATCCTCTCCTCTGTTACCTTCCGCCGTTAGACCTCTCTCCCCAGAAATATGTGTGCCCCCCCGCCACTGACCCTGCGATCCCCACCCCTAGCTGGGCGCCTGGAAAACCGTGAAATGAGGACTGGGCTGAAATGGGCTCGCAGTCCTCCACGCCTCGGCCTGGACCAAAGGGCGCTGAGTGCCGGTAGGGGACGCTTCGCCTCCAGCCACCGTCCGGATTTTCATTCACTCCAAGTGACATTCTCTTAAAATGAATAACTGCGTCTGAGAGCCTGTTCCCCCCACCACCACCACCACCACTCTCTCGGCCCCTCTCGGCGGTCTGATTGCTGGCTCAAGCACAGCGCCCCAAGACTCAGCCCAGGCGCCTCGTGGGGAGCACACCGCTAGAGACGAGTGGAGGGTGAGGCCCGCCGGCTGGTCTCAGGGCGAGGGGTTCGGTTTGCTGTGCGGAAGGCTGGCGCCCCGGCGTGTTCCGGCGGAGAAGAATGGAACGCGGGCGGGGAGCCCAACTGAAGACTAGAACTCGGGCGCGGGGCCCGGGCCACAATAACCCTGCCGAATGCTTGAGGCCAGAATGGATCGAGGCGCCGGGGCTGGAGCGCGGGCCCGCGCTTTTTCCTGCGGTGCGCTCATTCCCGCATTTCTCGCTGGCGCCCTGCGCTGTGCGCTCTGCGCGGTCGGTGCGCCGCCCTCGCCGCGGCGGCGGGAGGCGCCCGGCGAGCGCAAAAGCGGCTGGTGCGGGCCGGCTCCGACCGTAGCTCCCGGCTCCACACAGCGCTCGGGCTCCGGTCCCCAGTGGCTCAGGCTGGAGGGAGAGAATGGGGAGGGAGGCTTGGAAACGCCGAGAGGGGCGGTGAGGCCGGCGCCGGGAAAGCGAATCGATACTGCGTTACGGCGACGACCGTGGACCTTATTAGGACGGTCGATTTGTTTATTCGTTATTCGCGATTTATTGGGATGGGCACCGTGGCG